GCCAGAGGCGATGAGAGCTTTTTTCACCTGGAGGAGCAAGCAAAACAAGGGATTGAGAAGAACACAAGAGAAAAAAGAGGGAAAAAAAACATTCCCTGGAGCCCCCCCCCCCCTGCAGAGTGAACCCTGCATCCGGGGGGTGATCGAGCTGCATCGTCGCCGTCCGGAGCATCGGCCACGTTTTGCGGAAGAACCGGGACGCTACTGCGCATGATGACGTCGTATTCATGATGTCATATTTGTTCTTACCAGCGTTGCGAAGACGGTGTCGACTTCTGACGATTTGGCGGGGCTCCTCGCCATCATCCTGAGGTGTACTATCAAAGGGCCAACGAACGCGGCCACCTGGGTGGCGGTGGAAGCAGCGGAGACAGCAGCAAGGTTAACAACTATAGCAGCAGCAGCAGCAGCAGCAACAGCAAGACACCAACGAAACAGCGCTTGCATCTGACGGGAGTGAAGAGTGAGAGACAACGGGCAAACGGCGGCCACAACCAAAAAGTAAACATGAACAACACGGACACTATATCAAAGGAACAATCTGCACGAGGAAAACATAACTGGTGTTCTGGTGGAAAACTCTGGTAATATTTCGCGTTCCACTCACCACCCAGTATGTTTTATCCAGTCGCCATGTGTATATCGCGTCCATAGCATCAAAAAAGAAAACGCATTGAGCGTTGCGCGCGAATCGGTTTCATGGAAGACATGCAGAGAAGACGAAAAAGCATACATACCTGGAAAGCTTGGTTGATGAACTGGGCGATCCATTTGAGTCTGAAGGAGTTCATCTCGAAGGTGAACTTGCACCGAGGTCCGTCGAGACCTGAACCACGTGCAAACGAAAAAGATGTGGTGCATCCATGTAAACATCGGTTCCTTTCGCCGCGCCCTGCAAACAATTGAACAAAAAGAGGAACGCTGACTTTCTTGCACTACGGCCAACCGCCTTCGTTTCTAAATCAGCACCTTTTGGCAGCTCAACAGCACTCAAAACTGATGTTTTTCATCACCGGTGGACCTCCCAAAACTCACCCTCGTCGGTGAAAACAAAGACACGCCACCATTCCTAGATGCCGCATCTAATTTACACGTCCATTGCACACACAGACCGCTGCCCTGTCCTCCTCACCGTCGATTTCCGTTCCTTGAAGCAACGCGTGGACAACGGCTAATGTGACCCAGTTGAACGCGGTCGTTGCGACCCCGACCCACCGGTAGAACTTCCGCCACCTGTGTTCCCCCGTGCAGCGCACAACGAGACTAGGTGCTTTGCTTTCGGCATTTCCTTTGTCTTCCCTTTGTTGCCTCGTTGGCTTGGGACTCTCTGTCGCGTTTTTATAGGCGGCAACCCGCTTTCGACGCGAAAAAAAAAAGACACACCACACCTTGCTGAGGCGGACAAAAATATACGGGCGGTGCAAACTCTGCCCGACACAAGCACCGAGGGAGGCGAGCCATCCTCGGTCAGCAACCCAGTGCGGTCCACGCTAAATATTCGGAAAATATACTCACACACACTCACAGGTGTTCGTGTTATTACGTCCCGCTACTTAAGGGCGCGGGGGGGATCGCAGTACCTCCTCTGAAAAATCCAGGAAGCGCCTGCATATCTCGGTTTTCCAAAGTCTAACTCCAGTACGAAACTACCATCGTAAATTAACCGCCCGCAGCGGTCGCTCGTGTACAATGTTAGTAGCTGAGGTTGTACCCCTTGCGATACACTACAGACTAGCGGTCCGCGATTTTCCAAACGATCCTTCTATCATCGAGTTCGGTGAGCTACAAGCTAGATTTTTGAAGCTGCTGTGCGGTCCAATTTTGAAACGCTTCAAGCACCTTTGCCTAAAGGCATGGACATGCATATACATGACCCTAGGCATTCAAATCGACAATGGCGACCAGCTGGATATGTGAGGGAAGAGCTGCGCTGAAGTTCGCGGCCCCATACACTCACATAGGCGGTGGTTCGTGTTCACCGTGTGCTTGAAGCGTTTCAAAATTGGACCGCACAGCAGCTTCAAAAATCTAGCTTGTAGCTCACCGAACTCGATGATAGAAGCATCTTTTGGAAAATCGCGGACCGCTAGTCTGTAGTGTATCGCAAGGGGTACAACCTCAGCTACTAACATTGTACACAAGCGACCGCTGCGGGCGGTTAATTTACGATGGTAGTTTCGTACTGGAGTTAGACTTTGGAAAACCGAGATATGCAGGCGTTTCCAGGCGTTTCCTGTTTTTTTGAAGAGGAAGTACTGCGATCCCCCCCGCGCCCTTAACGGACGTCGATCCGATGAATAGGTGTTTACCGCGGATTATGATAAACTCAGAAATACACACACACAGGGAGAAGCATTTTCCTGTTTTCAGCCGCACCGGCGTCTTTTCATTGCTCAGTTGGTTAGCTCCGTCAATGTTTCCAATAAAGACACAGGCATCGAAATGCGTTAAGCAGCGCGCGCACTCTCTCTCGTAGGTGTTTCGAGGACACCACAAAAAAGTCCGAAAACAGAGGGGGGGGGGGGGGGTTGACCTTACTTGGGGTTCCTCTGGTTGCTCGCGTCAGCCTTGACGAAGAGATGCAGGAAGGTAAAGGCGTTGCTAGCGCTCATGCAGGTACCGTTGACGGCGGCGAGGGTGGCGCAGTCGTAGAGGTCGCCAAGCCCGTTGAACCAGTACTCAAGCGCTGCCGGGGAGGGAGAGGTTGTTGTTGTCGTGGAAAAATGTAAAGTAAGAGAAACTTCGAGGGTGCCCGCACGCGTGTGTTCGTTCCAAACCGGTCCTTGCGAATGGCAGCGGTAGCGATGTCAGAGTCTGCAACGAAAGGGTCCATCACATAGTCGGTGCCTCTGGCTTTGAATCGCGTTCTCTTGTTAATGGATGGAAGCAGGTGGGGTATACCCACACAATCCGTCTACGCCACGATGACAACAAGACAAATGAAAAACCAGGGCTGGCTCCAGACGGGGAACAACGTACCAGAACTCACAACAACGTCATGTACCGGAGACGGCTTACATCATCGCGGTCAACAAAAGCGACGGCATGGATTGGTGACAAGTAAGTGGCGGAATGCGTCTCGTGTTCATTCGAGTGTTTTCTAGGGTCAACCAATAAACACTACGCATCGAGCCGACCTATGTTGTGGGGTTGGGTGACATGACGTGTGTCCAAACTGTCTAACTATCTAATTCGGAAGCTCAAGACCACCGACACCATATCCCCGAGCAAGGCGGAGGGGGTGGGGGGCGTACGAGGCTCGTTGAAGAAAAAAACGATCATTTTCCTACCTTTTGACAGCGAAACATCACATTCGTGGAGAAGTAGGCCATACAGGGCGTGCAGTCCGCGCCCAACAACTAACTCACCAAACACCGAGTAGGAGACGGCGATGAGGCTCGCGGCGAGGCCGGTGATATTCAGCGGGGCCGAGCGCTTCCAGCACCTCTCCCCGAAGCACACGGATGTGATGAGGGCCACGGTAAATACCACCCCCTCCGAGAAGATCTCGAAGAACAGGCCGAACGCTGGAGACGGCATGCTGCTGCAGCGACAACAACGACTCGATGGGTTTCCTAGTCCGTATCCGACTGCGGGGGGACTGCTTGACCTAGTGGAACGCTCCGGGTCGATTGGACGGAGGGGTGGATCGATCAGTTCGACGTCAGGCGGACTGCTTGTGACCGGAACGCTCCGGTCCGATCTGATCGATGGATGGACGGGCGGATCGATCGGTTCCACGTTAGTTCCAGCTCTAGCCGGCGTAGTCCCTTCAGGCCCAAGGAGCGAAAAGCTTGCCGCTGCGCGGATCGAGCCCAGCGACCGATCGAAGCAACCGTCAACCCAATAACCGACGACCCCGCGCCCAGTCGGCCTGCCGCTGGCAGCTAGCTGCCCTGCGTCTCAGAGGTGAAAAAACACAGTACCGAGAAACGACAACAATACACGGGCACGGTTAAGGATGGATTATAGCTATGATAATGACGTGTTTCGAAAAAGTGAAAACGGTTCTCTCCATTATTACAAATATTGGAAAGGGGGTGGGCAGTGATTTTCTGAAAAACGGAATACAGCCCGCGAGGTTCTTCATTGTTCGAGATCAGGGAATGGAAGCGTTAAAATTAGCATCTGCCGGAAGCCCAGAAAGGCTGTCGTTGGTCTTCGACCAGTTAGAGAGCACCATCAACACTGGGTGGGACGAAGGACCGGAAGGGGAACTCAAGCCTTCGAAATTCCGTAGCACTGCTGCTGCTGTGGTGATAACGCTGTCTTCATTTCACGGAGAGAGGGTTTCTCCGCATCTCCTCCTCCTCCGCCCATATAGGGCCTTGCGTTTGCGAGACACGTACACCAGTGACGGTGCTTGGTGTCGCGAGTCCTTGGTGTTGCCTTGCTCTCTTTGGTGGACTGAACAGAGGGGGCGTCGGCGTCTCCTGCAGGGAAGGGCAGTTTGGCGACTCACCCCCGATGATTATAATCGCCAAGAAAGAATGGACTGTAGAATAAGAAAGGTATCTTGATGAGCGGGCCTGCACACCTACCTCTGAAAAAGATGAAATGCCTCAGTGTTGAACACACATACATGTCGTTCTCTCGGGAGGTAGGCACGCTGTTGCTGGCAGAAAAGCTGTGGGGTCCAGCTACGTGCCCCAAGATAACACCCACCACGACAATAAAACCCTTCCCCTAACCTTACCCCATCAAAATAAGGTGGGACCTTGATTGATGTGCGCTGGGAACGTCATATTGCACTATGTAGATCTCTTGGCGCTGTCGTTTCCCTCCTACAGAAGGAGAAAAAGACGAAATCAAACCAATGCATAAACTTCTACTGTAGTAGTTAGCGCTGAATATTCTGATAGATTAGTTGCGACTTCTGTAATAATAGTTGACCATGGGGTCGGAACGACACGAAACCCGTAGAAATGCCGTTCACCGACCATGTTATCGTAATTGCGGGTATTTGCAAGCGCTCCGAGGCTGCTTCCGCGCCCACCCGGGGTCAAAATGCCCCATTAATATAAAGGCCTCGTACGTACTACTCAAATGCTCCCGTTCATCTCCTACTCAAGTTGAAAAAAACGACCCAACAGAAGCACAAAAGATGTAAAATGAGCCAAACTACATCAACAGAAGGGCGGCACATATAGATACCGAGACCCCGAGCTCGGTGAAACCATAGTTGACGCACAGGACAACACGCGGTTTTTTGGATCGTTCTGTTCTATTTTCTCGTGGAACGCACACTGTCCGCGTCCCACACGCTCGGTGAAACCATGGTTGATAGAGACAAAGGGTAAGGGCTAGAGGTTGTTTCCGGTCTCCAGACATGGCCGAAAGGTTGACGGAAAAATTTCAAAAATTCTACTCGTCGTGTGGAATTGTACAGTACTGTACTCGGAAATCGACGCAACATTCCGGTCGGTCTATTTGCTCCGGCTCACTGTGTTTTCATTCAATATCCAAATAGTTTCTGAAGAAGTCGTACATATACTGGTACACTGCCAAATAAATGTGTTTTTTGCGCCGTTTTCCACGTAAGCAAACGCTCACGACCTGCACTTATTAACACTTTAACACTCCTGTTGCCCACAGAGGGTAGGTTGGTGCAATATGGCTTTTACTACTCTAGTCTAGGTGTTATTACGTTGTTGGTGCACGGGGCCAGTTGGAGGTGTTCCGACACGTCAACCACTTTTTCGAAAACCGACCGGTGGTGCCCTCGACATCTCTACTCATACGCATATATATTGGAACTGCAGCTTAGAGAGGTGATCTGGTGTATGCATGCACCAACCATCGTTTCACATGCGGGAACAAAGCGCGACACACACGCCCTGTACACACGTATGCAACACACCAAACAAAAGTGAGTGAGTGCTGCATCACACGGCAGTATAAATTGTGCTCGTTGCTAAAGCGACTGATGGTCGCGATGCGAAAGAAGCGAGATGAAACGCTGTCCGGCGCGCCCACATACATAGCACACGAACCCCACTCCCGTTGCTGTGACATGAGAAACTCGAACTCGTGTGACAACACACAGTCATCATTTCGAAGGCCAAATGCAAGAGAGCTTCGGATGCTGCTGTACAAGTAGGATCACACGTCGGCAGAGGGAGAAAATGTAGTCTACGTGTGAAGAGATGATCGTGCTCTCTGTCATGGCGCTGGGGAGCACGTGTGTCGCTGCTGCGCAAAGCTATGATTTTTCAACCAACGAAAAGATATTTCAAGAAAGGGAGATGAGAGAGTCTCACTGGACGGATTATGCAGTGTTGTGGTTGTTGTTGTTGTTGTTGTCTTCACATTAAAAACCGTTCCGATGTCTCTCTACCCAGTACCTTCGTATGTCCTTACTGATCCAGCACTCGACGCGGTCGATTCCCGTGGTCACAGGTTAACTTACCCTAAAAAGGTACACTCAAATAAACTGGCCCCGAGGGGTCCGCAAGTCAATAGAAATCAACGACAGATATTCTGGAATCCTCCACTCCCTCTTCGCGCTATGCGAGGTATCAACTGAGACTAGCAGTCACTATCTATCATGGGCCGGAGAGAAAGAGGTACACCCCCTTGGTTCAATCTTGGTACTTCACAACGCAAGCAGAGACAAAGGACATCTGGCACAGAAAAAGAGAGAAAAAAAGAGAGAAAAAAGAGAAAAAAGAGAAAAATGGAAACCGTAAGGAGAAGAGAAAATAGAAATATAAATATAGTGTACATTGTATAATAAAATGAACGCCATTTTGCGGTTTGAAAGAGTCAAAAAAACGACGCACAGCGTATGCATGCAAAAAAAATATCAGAACAGAAGTTCGCTACAGCTGCTGCGCACTACAGGGATGCTCGCAGCCCCCCTGTACCTTCTTTCTCTCACTGCCCGGGTCATGTGATAGGTTGTAGTTGCTGCTACCACATCTAGCCTTGGGGAAAGGGGGGGCATATGCCCAGATTATGTACGAAGAAGATATGTTAGCTGACGGCTTCGCAATAACCCGAAAAAGAATCGGATCTGCGGAGAGCGGGTGATCTTCTAACGCTTGAGGGCGCACAAACTTTTCTGAACGCGCGCAGCGGGGCCAGGGCTGTATGGCCGCCTTCTCGCGGTGCGTGGGTGGCTTAGCTTGTCGGCGTGTAAGAAGAAGGGTTGTCTGCACCGAACCCCTTTACCGCTGACGGCGGCGGCGTGATCTCGTTAATTAATTTGAGAAGGAAAGCTTTCCGAGAGACGGAAGAAATAAAAAAAACAACTTCTGACCCCCTCCTCTTGAAATCTCGGACACTACATTCGACGAGATGTGCCACAGCAACAGTATAGTACCACCGTCGAGGCTCTGGCTTTGCGCCGACCGCGCCGACCCCGCGCCCGGTCTGTGTCTTCCCTGTTTGAATCTGTTGCTCTTCGGTGCATGTGTGTGGCTAGTGGCGGTACCACAGATGTGTGACTACTGCTGTACACCCGGGCATGTATGTGTGACCGGTCGGTGTAATAGCACCGAGGACCAGCAACACTCTCACTCCGCAGCATGCATGTGTGATCCTAACACGCGAACATACAGACAATGGCCACGAGAGGAACCAGTGCACGCGATCGAATGCGCACGGAACACTCAAGTCATCGCACGTACTCTTTCCTACGCTCTCTCTCGCTCTTGGACCACTGCCGTTGCCAGCGGCCAGGGGCCAGCGGTATAACGCTCCACACGAAGTCACCGCCTGGATCAGCTTTCCAGACGCTGCCTAAAGCCTTCCAAGAGCTCACCAACACCCACCTGTGATCCCCCCCTCCGCTCCTCTCTCTCTCTCTCTCTCTCTCTCTCTCGCTAGCTTTCTTTGGTGCTGCTCAGTGTTTGCTCAGCCAAGTGGGTGCTACCGGTGGTGGAATGTGGCGGTGTGCCTGCGTACCATTCTTTTCTCGCTCCATCTATCTCTCTCTCCAACTTATTGAAAGAAAAAATGAGAGGAGGCATACCCGGAGCTGGCAGTCCCGTGTGTTTTTCCTCTTCTGCGCTGGCGCCTGGCCTAGTTTGGTTCGCCCCTGCACATGACGTGCGTATCATAGAATGTACCATGCGCCGGATGACCGACCGCTCTACGAACGGAACCACCGGGGATGACAGACTCTTTTTGCCGCGAATTAATCTCCTCCCATACTGCTTCCCCTGATATCTTCGAACAGGTAATTTACATGTAGCTACATGTGCTGTCGGTGTGCAAACTCGCCCCCTCCCCCCTGTCAGTACCCTGAACGTGGATCATTTTTTGGCACGTCTTGCCCAGTAACCTACTGTTGATTCCCAAAATAACTTCTGCAGACATACACTCGTGGGCGGGGGGCAGATAGAGAGTAGGCTCGTGAGTCCCGAACCAAACGTACGGTCACAGTTTATTATGAGGAGACAATGAGGGACCGTAACGAAGAAAGGATGCGTGTGCGGTTAGTTAGACCTACGGCCACTGCTGTCAATTGGAATAAATCGATGTGGGTCTGTTCACCCACCAACCCTTTCGCGGGGTCATGTGTGGCCGGCACTTGCTGCAAACTGATGTCGTTCGGAGTACTTTATATCTTCGCGGCCGATGAGATGGAACAGCTACTACTACATATATAAGGTAGGATATGTGAAACAGCTACGTACCAGGAGAGAGCGCGTGTGCACCTCCCCCACCCAACACGTGCCATCGGTGGACACGATCTCCTGACAACGCGGTAGGAGAAACATGTGGGTAGCGCGAAGTAAAGTTATGCAGCCTTTCATTCGTCGCGCCAAAAAAGAAAAAAGGCACGCCAGGGAAACGTAATGCAGCCACTGCCTGTACCCCTAAGCCCGAGTGGCAAATCCGTGCACGGCAGCCTCAAGTACACCCTATGCACCAACCCATAGATACAGGCAGCGACATAGGTACATGGTCAGCAAAGGCGTGGACTACTCGGGTGCGTCGCAGTCGTGGCCAACGCAGTACTTACTGTAGAACACAAATCACCCTAATCCCCAACGCGGACGCAGCAGCTGGTCACCGGTCCGGGTAACCTATTGGGTCAGAGCTCGCTTATGCAACAGCAGTTGACATTACGCTGCAGTAGAACCAAATACCAAGAAATTCCGGGCGCTGGCTCGCGGAGCTGGTGGATTGGTGTGTCCGGAATCCGGACCGAAAACCGGAGAAATTGTGACACCAAAGGAGGGGGCTCAGAATGAAGAGAGTTCCTTGGCCGGAAAAACACGGGTTCTACGAACAAAGCGTGCAACGCCTGTTTCTTTCAATTCAGTAAGAAGAGTGCAGGGTCTAACCTTTTAAATGAAGTTGAAGCAACTTGCTTTTCTTCCTGCAAGCCCCTCGCAAACCTGAAGATGCTGTCCATATTCCTAATGCCTGTAGGCGCAAATTTTTAGCGCGACGCTACTCCATCCAGCCGTATTACATGCATGACTCCACCCCAAACGACGGTCGTCGCGCAACACGGAGATCACCGAACGCCACTCTTTATCTGAGGCATATACCGCCTGAGGCTGAACCTCACCCCACGGGGAGGCTGGATCTTATGAGCGGGGCGGTACGCCTAAGCGAAATTTCAGTGGCTGGCTTTGCGATGTGCCGATACCCAAAAACCATGCCCGCAGCACCCAGAATGCAATCATTTATCACACAGCGAGAGAGCGGGCCGGGACCCGGTGCAAAACGATGCCGGTAGACCCCCCTACAAGCGGGGGACCAACAGATATGTCAGCAAAAATTCTCCCCAAATGCAGTGATACCGAACCACACCACTACTGGAGTGCGGGACACTGCGGCTAAGCAGCTAGAGATATAGTACCAAGGGAGAAGGCAGTTGTCAGGTCATTCGGGCAGAGGCAGAAACGGATTGATGGCCAATACCGCTAGTTGACGTTTCGGTGTACCTTGCAAAGAAATGTCAACGAAGCACCAACCGAACCGTGCTCGCCACAAAAAAATAGCACACACCCTACTTGTAGCCTACGTATCTACAACGTGTACAAACGCAACAAACGTATTAGTAACAAGGAGGAGCGACAGAGTCATGAAAATCGGAAATTGATTTCTGACAAAACACGTTCAACGGAAAAGACTGGGCCGAGCCATCAGAAATCGCTTCACCCGGTCTCCCGTTACAAGCGACGACGAAAATTTGCAAAGGAGTGATGCTACGGTAGGGCCATCACACTCCAATAAACCTGTTGCTCCCCTTGATGCTCCCCATGGCGGAAAAAGAGCGTGCCTGGCAGGCGACGTGGGGATCGACAAAAGATCTTCAACAGGACTGCGCGTTTTCTCCCAAAAGGGTCAAGCTTGCACCCCAAACGTGCACCCCCCTACCGCAGCAAACGACCGAGCTTAGGGTGTGACGTTGCCCGCGACCTTTCTGGCACCTCATTTCCCAGCAAACGCAACCGACAGAAGCGGGACCTCAAGCAAAGAATGTACTTGCCTATGTCACCTTTGAGAACTACCCCTTTTCCGCTCTAGCAACCAACAGGGCTCCGAGGGGGCGAAACCCCTTCTCAGCAGCCTCTTGTCTATCTACCGTGTATGTGCCATATATATATATGGGTTGAGGCGCAAGAAAATGTCATGTTGGTGCAGGCACCAAACCGCGTGCTACAGGAGCCAGTCCCGATGGAATACATTCCTACCCGACGTTGGCCGAATGGCCCGGCGATACCTCCTTTGCCACGGGGAGAGGCTGCTGCCGCTACTTCGGTATCTGCTGCTGGTGCCACTACTCATGTGCGTATAAAAAAGAAAGCTCATGGATCACGTAGAGATGACAGAAACAGGGCGGCAATCACGCCCGTGTGCCCCGCGTGGTCATGTTGCTGCTGTTACGTGCGTATACATGGCCATGTGCCTGCTTAGTTGAACGAATACACCGGGGGCGCGTCTCCGCCAGTTTGCTGCCCACAGGAAAAGGAGAGGTTTCAACAGAACGGTGCGTTGCAGCACGTGGTTGAATCGCGAAACAACAAGCAGAGGGTGCAAGGGGGGGGTACGTCTCAGAACATTGTATTTCAAGGAGGAAACCAGGGAAACCGCTAACTAAAAAGGCCAGGTGAGCTGAGGCTTGCAAGCCAGGGAAATTGATATCTGGCGTTGATCCTGAATGCGCCAGAGTTAAAAATCGTGCGCGTTCTCTCATCACACGGTGTACGATTTGCCACAATATGGACGGTCCGGACCTGCCCCCTCCCACAGTGATCCTCATCTCCTAGTGCCCCCTTCAAAAACATGACATCGGCCTTTCAAACTCATCAACTACAAGAAAAACTTACTGTAACGCGCATAGCGCACACTCTCGACTAGTGCAAGTCCCCCTGGTGAAATAATGTCGTGTGTCTTCCCAACCCGGCCTGGCGCCTGGCGCAGCCAACGCTTGCTAACAAAATCAACAATGCTCACGTGGCACGCAAGACGTACGAATTCTCCTCCGCGGGCCCCCCGTCAGGGGACCCCTCGGACCAGACAGCAGCTTTTTCATGTCTTCTGTCCGGCTACAGCAGCAGTAACACCGACGCATTTCATTGACCAGCCCGCTAGAACGGTCTGTTCAATTGCAGTCGTGGCTCCGATACAAGAGCGTGGTGTAACAAATGGCCCTCGACCCTCACAGATCGACCCCCTTATATCGGAGCCCCCTCATATAAGGTACCGTCTTGTATCGGAGCCACTGTTATCACACACTCCTCACCTGCGGCGGTGCGTAGGGAGCTGTTGGTGCCCCCGCCTGTGGATGCATGAAAGACCCCTGTCAGAGACAAAATGGGGGGGTGGGGTGGGGGGGGGGGTAGGGGGGGGGGTGGGGGCCATAAAAGTCCAACCCAAAGGAAAAAAGGAGCGGGGGGGGAAAGAAAAGGGCCCAAAGGAGCCCCGGGGGGAACAAAAAAAACCACACATAAATTCCCAAGGGGGGGTTAAAAGTTAACAACCCCCCGGACCCGGGAAAACCCCCTTTTTTCTTTTTTTATCCCCCGC